ATTGGCTATGTAATCTGCGTGGCTTAATTTGTAATCTGCGTGGCACACAAAATTTTAAAATTAAATTTCTCGAAAAGTAATTGTGCTAGCAAGGAGCACCAAACTGTTCTATAATCGTGAAAGTATGCAGAATCATATTTCATTGTCATCATCTTCAAATTGCTTAAATTAAAATTTGCCACGCAGCTTACGCGGAAAATCGAAATCTGAATAATGACCCTTAGGGCCCTTTTCCTGTCATGCGTATTTTCGCACGCGCGCGGATCTGGTCCGCATGCGGGCCGCACGCATCTTATCTTTTGATACATGTTTTTCCTATCATGCGGCTAGCACGCGCGCGGAACGCGGATTGACGCAAACGAAACCCCTGTCCTGCGTGTGACCAGGAGCGTGCTATCATCCGCATGCGGACCAGATCCGCGCGCGTGCGAAAATACGCATGACAGGAAAAGGGCCCTTATACGGGAAGTATTATAAAATTTGGTGCTTGAGTAGGTATCGTTTCTCATTGTGATTGTGCTATTGCATAGTAGCTATCAACAACACCTCGAAAAATCCACCACCACTATAACAGCCACAAGAGTCCACTGCTGAACATGGGCTTCCCTGTATCGTAGGGTATTGCCACGTTCACCACGCTTGGCAGGCGCATTGACGAGCGCGGTGCAAGATGTTTAATTCGCGAGGAACGCTGCTGCCCGTTCCCTGGATAGTTAGTTTGACTACTACACCCACTGTTAGAATAAGAGTGATGCTATTCTAAGCCGGAATCACACGGCAAAACGAGAACCTACCTAACAAGCTTACAATGGAACCACAATTCTCTTCTCTGCGTGTTTTGGATCACAATTCAATGCAATTGGCAAACAGGATTACCTATGTCGCTGAAATTGGATTGTCCACTGACGTAGCTAGAGACTGCTCCCATTTGATTGTACTAACGAAATAAATGGTGCACTTTCTGTACATTGTTATTCAATTGTGTGAATTGTTAATTCGAAATATATACTTTGTTGTTAGATCCTGTGGTAACAGCGTTTTCTTGGGATGAGAGTCTGGTTAGTCTACAGATATCGATATCAATCATCATACATCTTTTTAACTGTATTATGTCGCTGAAATTGAATTGTCCATTGACGTAACTAGAGACTGCTCCCATTTGATTGCACTAACGAAATAAATGGTGCACTTTCTGTAGGTACATTGTAATTCAATTGTGTGAATTGTTAATTAGAATAAATATACTTTGTTGTTACATCCTGTGGTAGCAGCGTTTTCTTGGGTTGAGAGTCTGGTTAGTCAACTGATATCAATATTAACCCATCATACAACTTTTTAACTAATGTAATCAATCATATCACTTCATTTCATTTCATCTTTTTAATGTTGGAAACATACACATACAAACACAGTTTACGGCTTTATCGTTCGGAGGGTAGACAGGGCGTTAAAGATCCTAAAAGTATGGTCAACATCGCCAGGCCACGTCTTACAAGATTTTAGGACTAATTCAAATAAATCGTGTATCTGTAAAAGTTTATTACGATACAAAATTCAAAAGATGCTTGACTTTTGTAGGGGTAGCTAGCTGGCTACAATTAACATTCTTTATTTGTGTGGTGGCCGTTGTCCCCAATAAGGGCCTACGTGTCAATATAAGGTTAATATACCTACAACATTTCTGAATTGGATCGCTGTAATATCGGAAAATTAACCCATCCACCCATCTGCCGTGTGGTGCCGGCTTAGAATAGCAGCACCTCAAATCTTTCCCGTGGGTGTAGTAAAAAGCGACTAAGGGATTTGAGAGTTAATGTGTATTGCAATTTTAGGCTATGGGCTGACAGTCTTCTGAGTGACTCTCAAACTTTTGTCAGACGTGGTGTATATGGCCGTTTTTTCAGCCGTTCACGCTCTGCCTACCCCGTAAGGGATATAGGCGTGATATGTGTATGTATATATTCCGCCTTTTTTGGGACTTACGCAAGAGGCATTATGGCAATGCCTGAACGAGATTGCACGCGGTGACGTTACGTAGGCGGTAGGGCATGCAATATCGGAAGTTTATCAATTCCGGAACTGAGTTTCGATATTAATGCCTAATTCCGGAATTCCGGAACCAATTCCGGAATTAACAATTTTTTGATTGTGTTCAATTTTAAATAGCGTTACTAAGTATTGAGCTAATGCTTACGTAGAATTAGTCTTTTAATCACTTTTTGAGAACAAATCAGCTAAGTATGTAAGGAAACATTAAGGGTAAATTAATTTTACTTAATTTTGAAACGTTTTAAAAATTTATATTACCTGGAGGGGCAGAATGAAAGGATGCACTGTTTTTAGAAATGCAGAATTAACCTGGTTCACGAATGGGCTCAGGAGAGAGGGACATGCTCGCTCTGGTGTATTTTATCATAGAGCCAAATTCAGTGTGTCCACTGACCTGGAATATTTTGCGATCGTCTTCCAGACCGAGATTGAGTACGTCTGTCTTAACCTGACATACAAAGGAATAAGGATACTCAATAACGTCTGCTCCTAAGAACACACAGGTAAAAGTAAACACGTAGAATATCCTAATGAGATAAGAATTTAAGCAAACTCCAGAGTCGGTCAACACAAAAAAAAATAACGTCGTCAGCTTCAAGTTATATAGACTATTGAGCTCTTGAACCATCTCGCCAACAGATATGTGATCCAGCATGGCACTTAGACATAGCAGGAAACGGAGCTAGGCATCAACATAACTGCAACTCGCAGTGTCTTGAACAAATGGGTTAACCAACAAGCCGAAGAACTCTAGAAGGGATCAGCAAGCCTAACACGCTCTAAACGGCTGATCCGGAGATTATCACAGAAATATATTTCCGCGATACTATTAATGAACCGAAATAACGTCATGTAATTAGCTTCGTTCAGTTTGTACTCTGAACGTGTGAAAGAGAACAAAAGACGAAAACTATATTTGCAAAATAAGTAGGAAACTGTTTCGATTTCAGTTCATCTCTTTAGGTAAGAAAGTATACCTTATGGCAGTTATTCGAAACTGCGTCCATATGGACTACTGGTGCAAATTTGCAAGGCATCGGTAAACCGTATGAACGTAGTTTCGGAATAACCTCAGGTTGATTACAAGGACCCTTTCGGGTTCGGCACAGTAAGCTCATCTGCCAAATCTACATACTATAAATTTTGAGCTGAGGACGATGAAACACAGCTTCACGATCTCTGCGAACGTGAGGCACTTGTGCAAATAAGATGCAAACCGGACTACGAGCCGCCACTGGCCACTAGTTGTCCTCGAAGGAGGTCTAATCTCTTGACCCAGAACAGGTTGTGATATTCCTTGAAATGGCCCGTCATCTAACAAAAACGGGCAGCCACAATAGATTTACAAAGGTCACAGTAGCTGTTAGTCTTTTCAGGACCAACGCTTTTTTCTTAATTAATAGTAATATACTAATATCGGAATAACGATATTACATCTTCCAATTCCGGAATTGTAATATCGGAAAAAACCGTCCGAAATTCCGGAATTACGAAATTCCGGAATTCCGGAATGCATGCCCTAGTAGGCGGCACATAGAAGCACGCAGGGCGGCAGACCGACAGACGCCCACGCGCCCACGGTATTGACTTTGTTGCAAGGACGAGCTATTTTTGTTTGTTTTTACTACAAATAGATTTATCGCTGGCTGATAGCGAGCGAGCTGTATTTCAAAGTGGAAGCTAGGTTTGTCTTTGCGATAGTGGTTGCGAAGGTCAAAAGCACACGTAGGGCCAAGCTTTGAGAAATAGATCGCCTACGTTTTATTCTTGGTTTAAATGTAGTACATCTAACTAAAGTCCTTCTAAGTGTTACTTATTATTTGAGTCATTATATACTCGGTCAGACGGCCACTCTCTGCATTCGCCGCTGTATGACAGTTGTATGGCGCTCTCTTTCCCACCTGGTGGTAAGCTCAAGCACCCGTAACATTTTGTAATGCAGCGAATGCAGCGAGTGGCCGTGTCAACTTTATATAACATGTAACACTTTTCTTCCAACTTAAACACAATTCCAAGAAAAATCATTAAAGCCAGTTAAGCAGCCACTTTTACTTTACTTTGGAAATAGCCAATAGAGTCGTAGTGTATTGATTTTGAGTTCAACGTCCCCGGTACGCTGTTTGTGTTACAGGCGAAGTAAAATAGAATTACCTGGAAGAGAAAATTTTACTAAAGCAGTAAGAAATACGAAATAAAGTCTTCTTTTTCTTTTTAATTATGGCTTTTGCCAACAAGCCATTCAGCCAATGTCATGTAAAATTAGCTAATCATGCTATATGCAGAAAAGAGAGAAATAAAAGCAAAAATAATATATGCATACCCGCAGTTAAGTATAGTCAACATTAAACAAATAGGTTTATACTTTTAATATCCAATATACCTAATTTAGTATAGTATAGTATAATATAATACCTAAAGTCATGGTAGACCAAAGAGTTACGGTACCAAAGGGTGGCGATCTAATTACTACCAAGTATAGGTAGGTATTTCTTTTCTTTGAAGTAATAAATAACGTTCACATTACCGGGTCATCAATCAATGCACTAAAACCATCTATTAAGTTAATCTACCTAATTATTTTATGCAAAAACCATACCAAAGGTCGTTTGAGGTAGCAAGTTTGTTAAAAAATTACATAGGTTCATTTTAATCCTAGGTAAGTAAATAAAATAACTAAGTAAGTAAGTTTATTTAGCTACTTACAACAGGAGAAGTTAATCCATGAAATGGAACAGTAGAGAGGGTGTTTTAGTTGAAATATTTTTAGCACTCCCAGATAAGAAGATTATGAAGCTGGCGGGGCTACTTTTTCTCTGAATGTGGATAAAAATGTATAACTTTAATAAATCTGTACCAAGTAGGTAATGTAACGCTGTAATTGAAAAGGAAAATAAATAGCATAAAGAAAGTCAAGATACACTTGCTTAATTTGCGAACTTGGAGTGAGCCGCTGCGCTGTAGCCCAGTTGGTAAAGGCGTCGCCGGTACATACAGATGGCGAAGGTAGCTGGTTCAAATCCAGCCTGCGGTGAATATTTTGCAAGTTTACCTGTTTTATGTATGTAACGTGTTACGTGATCACTCTAATAATCAGACGTGACGTGCGTTTCTACGATTTTGTCATCGCATCCGTAACGCGTGCGTAAGATGAATGCGTTACGGATGTGATAAAAAAGCACAGTAACGGACGTCATTGTGATACCCGCCAGATTTTGAACTGGTTTAGTAAACTACTTTTTGTAAGCTGAGTTGAATAAAACAACGTTTAGTGTGAAATAATGCCGCATGGTGCCAGCTGAGAATAGCATCACCCCAATTCTACCCACGGATGTCGTAAAACCCGACTAACGAATATTCATCCAGGCAATGGGCATGCGCGGTCTCTGTGAATGAAACATCTTGCTCTACGCTCGCCAATCCGTCTATCTTCCAAGTGTAGTGAGTATTGCAGTACCCCCCGAGAGAGGGAGGCCCATATCCAGCTGTGGACTGTTGTGTAGCAGTAGGCAGTTGTAGTATTTAGTAGTGAATCAATTGACATACGTTAATTGACAACAACCGATGGTTCTATTGGTACATGTAGAAATGTACAAGTAGAACAACCGGTGGTTTTGTTCTTCCTACAACATGCAGCATAAATAAACTAAATCAGTTTTCGGAAGCTCGCCGGATTGTAGGTAACTCGGTCGTACGAGGTTAGTTGGTTAGCTCGGGGCTAGGTATTCTTTCAGGCGACCCATATTATTCTGGGTCACCAAACAGAATATTGCATTACGATTCACTTACCTACAGATAACATAAATTCTACACTGTTCTTTTACAAACTGATTTTATGTAAAAGAAAAATATTCGGTTTTTTAAAGGCCGAATTTGGCCGGAAGTTAACGGAGGGTTATATTTTGCGAGAGTATGTATGTATGTGGACAAGAAAATTCTTTTTCACGGACTAAAGCCCGAACGGATTTTGACATATTATGAGGTGTCGTTAGATTCGTCTCAGCAGCGCGAGTGACACTAACTATATTAAAAATGTATTGATTCAAGATGGCGAATTTTTACTGCAAAACACTACTTTAAAATCACCGCAGTCGGGTATTTTGTTTTTAACATATCTACTTGTTTCAACCCCACTCAGCTGATTACAGTCAAAACAAAGTGACGGTAGCGCCACGCGCATTGCTGTCGGCGGCGGACGTCGTCAGCAGGTTTAGTTCAGTAGTACCGCTACTCGCTCGTAGAGGGCGCTGATAAAAGTTTGGAGTAAAATCCGCCTGTAGAACATTTTAAATGGAATTTGTACAATGTAAATGTTCTTAACAAAAGAACACAAAAGGTGAGAAAATAAAGCGTTTTTTATCTTTGTGCCTCCTTATACTAAATTTATCTTTTGTATTTCACATCAACGCTTTTATTTAGACCTACTAAAGAAGTTAGTTGAATAGGTTTTTATTTCTATCGTTTCCGGTCTAAATACGGAACAACGAATCTGCGGTCGATTATAGTCAGCGTAGTGTTGGCACTAGAATAGCATTGTATCCAACTACACAGCTATTTCTAGGCAGGTTCGCGCGTAGGCTGTACTACAATTGTAGAGCGAATGCCAAAACGGTCGAGAGATCCATTTCTGGCGCGATGATAAGGTAACCACCACCCACTTTCACACTTTCCTTCATTTTAATTATTTGTCTGATGAAAAAGTTTCTGATATTGAGTCGTACACTAAGGATAATAAGATAACAAAATACATTATTTAAAAAAAGAACTACAAAAATTCACCCTACCACCAACCCCCAGCAAACACACACCCGTGTCTAAACTGTACCTATTCCAATTTTACAGCCTATATAGTAGGTATAGATAAGCCTAGGCCTAGCTTATGCAAAGACTTAGTAGCGATACAGGTAAACAAAAGAGGCTTATAGTTGCAAACGGACTGCAATATGACTGCATCGTAAGACTGCCTCTGTTCTCTATTAAATAAAGTATTTTTAATTACTTAAATGAAATCAAAATACAAGCGACATTATATTACTTCGATAGAGCTTGAGAACTGCGCAGTAGTTGGTCTAAAAATGCACTCTACATAGAATCCCAGCTAAAAACTGTGCTCTAAGCTTACTTTCATACTGCTGATGCTGCGGGTGATATCTTATATCGACTATACATCAGTGGACAATCACAATCTAGCTTTGCAGTAACTAAGGCTATAAATGTAGTTGATCTGCACAGACGCCCACCCAGCTTATATTATCTATGACTACTCAAATCAAAATGTGCTCAAATCGACGATATAACCGTGGATAAATACGCGCCTCTGTCTGGCGGAGAAGGTAGAGCGTATAGCTTGTCTAGAAATGCAACTCTGACAAGTGGGGTAGGTAAAGCATGATAGCTTCGCAGTAGCTGGGCTATGAATGCAATCGGTCTATACAGACGCCCAGCCTATACCTGTGACCTATGCTATGCTGCGATTGACGATACACGACCTGTCAGTTGGGGTAGACAGAGCAGTGTAGCTTCGTAATAGCTTGTCTAGAAATGCAGTCGGTCTCCTCAAATCCCCAGCTTATACCTGCGACCTATGCTATGCTACAATTAATGATAACCACAAAATAGAGAATTTACAGAAGGACAGCTCGCCCCTTCTTCCGATCATTTATGCCTACTTTTGTGCCTTTTGGCACTTGCGAGTCGTAACTTTGCCGTCCGCCCGCACCGAACGCTGTTGACACTCGCTGCTTACCGGTTCGAACCGGTTTGAGATTGCGCGTAAACGACGGCGTGGGGATGTCTGTGTGAGTAAAGCGAGGTTTCCTTAAAGCCGGCTCTCTGGATTGGCGCCAGCCAATACTTTGTGATACAACTTCATGATAGTTTGTTTAGAAATGCAGTTAGTCTGCTCAAATCCCCAGCCCATACCTGTGACCTATGCTATGCTGCGATCGACGATACAACAGTGGATGATCACGCGTCTCTGTCAGGCGGAGTAGGTAGAGCGTATAGCTTCGTAATAGCTTGTCTAGAAATGCAGCCGGTCTCCTCAAATTCTCAGCCTATACCTGTACTGCGATCGATAATAAAACTGTGGATGAAGTGGGGTAGGTAAAATAAGATAGCTTCGCAGTAGCTAGGCTAAAAATGCAGTCGGTCTGCTCAAATCCCCAGCCTATACCTGTGACCTATGCTATGCTGCGATCGACGATACAACCGTGGATGATCACGCGACCTCGCGTGAAGGGGTCAGGGCCGAGTCAGATAGGTGAGAGCTTTGCAGTAGCTAGGCCAAATTTGAACAATACCACGCGAGCTTCGCTAGAAAGAAAGCCTCTAAATTCACAACTCTGTAAGAAAGGTAGTAGCTAGGCCAAAAGAGCTTTGCAGTAGCTAGGCCAAATTTGAACAATACCACGCGAGCTTCGCTAGAAAGAAAGCCTCTAAATTCACAACTGTGTAAGAAAGGTAGTAGCTAGGCCAAAAGAGCTTTGCAGTAGCTAGGCCAAATTTGAACAATACCACGCGAGCTTCGCTAGAAAGAAAGCTTCTAAATTCATAACTATGTAAGGAAGGTAGTTTTGAGCAAAGTCGTTTAGTTTCATGGTCTAGTTAAGCTTAAAACGTTTGATCTTTCCTTACAACACTTATGCTTTATTAAACATACACACCTACATAAATAAAGTAAATACTTATTATTTTTAAAACGCTTTGGTTTACTCAGAAAGGCAAGGCGTCTCGCAAGTAGAACAAATAATACCTCCATAAAATCCACAAAAACCACATTCAAATTAAATTCAATCAAATATAATGAAATCCGGAGGTGGATGTACCTATTCTTAATACGTGGATTGCGTGCTTTGTTTAATGATGCCTAATTGTATCTTCAGACGAGTACTTACCTATTAAAGTTTGTTAAAAAACAAAAAATATATCAGGTAGTTAAATGCTGGCAATTCGGGAAATAAAATTCTCTTATTTACCTTAAATTTTCGCTGTCACATTCTGTCAAATAAATACCTAGGTTTAGAAACGGATAGAAAATTAAGATAATTAATTTCTTGAATTGACCTCAATAGGTACTCATAATGTCAGTGTTTTAGGAAATTCAAAGTAAAGTTGTAGCGGTTTTGATGTATTACCTAGAGAAAAGGTGTTTATTACTTACAACACTACCTACTCGACATGGGCCTTCTCGATTCGAGGGCTGGGCAATGCCATACTCCACACGCTTGTCAGATGCTTCATTCACAGGAGACGCTGCTGTTCATTCCCTAGATTAATATCTCTTACTCGGTTTTTTCGACACCATGCTATTCTAAGCCTGCATCACGCGGCAAGACATCATAAGAAACCGAAACTTTGCTATTAGGCGTCCAAATATTATAAGTATATTGCAAAAACATTTGGAACCAAGGAGTAACGTAGCCTAGGTAAAATTTCTGAAACTGACTTCAAAAATAATTACCCCCATTCGCGACTAAGGGGGTCAGTAACACTGCAGGTGACCGTGCGTGTGCCTGTCTATAAGCAGAAACACTTTTGAAGTCACGCAATAGATGAAACTAATCTCTCTCTCTCTCTTCGTGTGGGACATCAAGTTGTTCAACGACCCGATAAACCTTGGTGTCAGAGTTTTTCAACCGCCTTCTGCAAGTAGCAGGCCTCTGACATGGTTGTGTAACAACCGCCATCATAGACAGCAACCGGGACCGACGGCTTAACGTGCCCATCCGAAGCATGGAACCATCTTTCTTTTCGAACAATCAGGTGGTTCAGCCTACAATGTCCTAACCAAACTGGGAACAAATTCACATAGTGATGAATATCAACCTTGTGAGTGACCCCACCGGGAATTGAACCCGGAACCTTCTGCGTGGCAGGCAGTCATACTAACCACTGCGCCACATCGGCTGTCAAAAACTAATAATGGCTGAAACTAATAATTTCATCACAGCGTACGTAGGTACGTGTAGCATTTATTCCCATACAGCTTTCATGAATGTCATTTCGTTCGTGTTAGTTCTAATTTGCGCTCAA